ATATACACTTATGTGTACGTATACATATATATATGTAAACACTTACGGGTCTGTGTGTATATATAGATAACTAAATATTTACAAATCTATGGAAAGAGGTCTCTTGCCCTTGGTAGCAGATACTTAAGAGAATAAGATAGTTCAGTTGGAAGGGACCTGCCATGATCATCTAGTCCTATAGACTGACCACTTTAGGCTGACAGGAAGTTAAAACATGTTATTAAGGGCCATTTTCCAAATACTTCTTAAACACCATTAGGTATGAGGCATTGACCACCCCTCTCAAACATAGGCTCTATGGACACCTTAAAGCATCTTTCAGTACCTGAAGGGAGCCTGTAAGAGTGCTTGAGAGGGACTTTTGACAAGGACATGGAATGACAGGACAAGGAGGAATGGCCCAGGTAGGTAGGGTTAGATTAGATATTAGGAAGAAATTCTTCACTGTGAGGGTGGTGAGGCACTGGCACAAGTTGCCCAGAGAAGCTGTGGATGCCCCATCCCTGGCAGTGTTCAAGGCTAGGTTGGATGTGGCTTTGAGCAGCCTGGTCTAGAGGAAAGTTTCCCTGCCTGTGACAGAGGGGTTGGAACTTTCAGATCCTTTCCAACCCAAACCACTCTGTGATTCTGTGATATTGTAAGTCCATATGATGAAGCTGATCTCTGTGGAGCTGGTGCCTTTACTCCATGCTCTCAGCTGGGACAGCATTGCACTGATGTGACAGAGCTGCTCTATTACAGAAAAATAGGATTTTTCACAATATTTGATGGCTTTTCTGACAGAGCTCCATAAATCCTGAGGTTGTACAAAATCAGAGCTCTGCAGTAGGAGGAAAGGACAAGACTTACACTTAGAGTGTCTATGTCCAGGTCCTGGCAGTGGTGAAGTCCACGGGGACCTCTGTGAGGAGAGGTTGGGGCTGCACCATGCTGGGCACACTGCAGTGTTTTCTCGAGTGTTACTGGCAGCAGTGTTTTGACTGGATCAAGATGCAATCCCTGACCCTGTAGATGGGCTGTCATGAATGGAGATGTGACTGTGCTGTGCTCACTCTTGCTTTCTCTCCCAGAGCAGAGGTGGAAAGCAGAAACTACCGCAGGACAGCTGCAATGAATGGAATCCCTTTAGACCAGAGAGATGAAGACTGGGAACTCAAGAAAGAAGAGCTTAAGAGAAACCCACCGTGTTTTTGGGAGAATTACACACCCTCTGCTCAAAAGAAAAATGGGGAAAAAAAGGGGAAGCGATAGTGTGCCATACCTGGTTTGTGCCTCCAATAACTTGCAATGCAGAGCAAGGGCACTGGCAGACCTCAGGTGGATCTGCAGGGTGATACAGGGGTGAATGGTAGAAGCAGATGGCTACAAGGATGAATCCTTTAGATATACTCTAAATACTGTCCTTAAGAGGGAGCAGGTAGAAGTACTTTTGTCTTTCTGCATGTCTCTATGTATCAGATCTCAAATATCAAGAAAATGCAGATGTTTAAATATACCAATGATCTAAATCACTGGAATGTATAAAGTTACTGAGGTGACAGCAGTTGCAAATGTCAAAAAGGGAAGTGGTTTTGCTCCTACCTCATTCACAAAAACATCTGGGACTGTGGTTCTGGTTGCTCTGCTGATGTCTGTGGCCTTTGCTTGTTTGCTTCTGGTCCCAAGTCAACCAGGAGGCTCTACAGGGTGCCTGTCTCTTTTCTTGGTAGTGGAGTGTAGGTGCTTCTTCTGGCTGAAGGAGAGATATTGATGTTGATCTTTTACTGAACATGCGAGCCTCAATATCCCCTTCCTGGCCCAGCAAAAGGGAAAACATGCTCCATCCTTACTGCTTTCATTCAGCTGTGGCTGCCAAGAGAGTTGGAGCATGGCCTTATTTTTAGCAGTGCCCCCAGCCATAGGAATGCTGTGGAACTGGTCCTGAGCTATCCCTCTGCTCATCAACACTTTCCATGGCAAAAGCATTTTTAATTGTTTCACTCCTTAATCATTGAAACTTTGAATGTGAACCAAAGCACTTTTCCATACTGTGCCAGCACTGGGAAGCCACTCCCGTTGACTTATGACTTCTCTTATGTGTCAGCTGCCCTGGGCCTGGGCACATCACTGCATCTCTCCAAGTAGGCTGTGCACTGTGGCTGTGCTGATGGATAACTGTCCCGTCCAGTGCCAGCTGAGTGGAGCTGGTGCATGGGGCAGTGAAGCTGTGTTGGGTGGTATGTTCTTGGGGGTTTCATGGAACTGGAGGAAGTTATCTGCCGTGAGGTTTGCTGGAGCTGCATTGCTTTGTGTGGTAACATCAGTCCCAGAGAGGGACTCTCTGTTAGGAGCTGCAGTGACAGGACAAGGGGTAATGGGTTCAAATTGAAGGAGTGGAAGTTTAGGTTAAATATTAGAAAAAAGTTTTTTACTGTGAGAGTGGTGAGACACTGGAACAGGTTGCCCAGGGAAGTGGTCACTGCCCCAACCCTGGCAGTGTTCAAAGCCAGGCTGGATGAGGCCTTGAGCAACCTGGTCTAGTGAGGAGGTGTCCCTGCCCATGGCAGGGGTTGGGACTAGATGATCTGTAGGGTTCCTTCTAACCCGTAAAATTCTGTGATTCTATGATCTGCAAGATGCTGGTTTTGCCTACTGAGTCTTGTGGTGTGTGAGGTTATGAGAGAAGATATTCATGGCATGCAGGGAATAAGAGGGATTATCGGGGATTTACTTGTGAAAGTGATTGGGACTGTCTTGTTAAAGGAAGAAGTGCATGAGCAACAGCAGGGAGAGAAGGGAGGTATGACAGTTCCTGTATTTTCAAGGCCTTTTCATTGGGTAAATGTGTCCAGATGTGATTCTTGAGATCTGCCTCTGGACCTGAGCTGGTGGAAGAAATGAACAATTCAGGTTCTGCTCTGTGCATGCTGCAGCTTTGTCATGTTTAGAGGATGTGCTGTGCAAGTTTGACCTTGGACAGCTGCCAGACCCCCACCCAGCTGCTCCTTCACTGTTGCCCATAAACAGGGCTGGAGAGGAAAATACGATGAAAATGTCGTGGGTTGAGATAAAGATAGGGAGATAACTCACCCCTTACTCTCACAGTCGAAACATACTTGACTTGGGGAAATTAAATTAATTTATTGCCTTTTGAAAATAGAGTAAGATGATGACAAAAGACAAAACCAGAATCCACTGCCTCCACACTCCTATACGTCCCAGGCTCAACTTCACTCCTTCATTCCAAGGTACTGCACATCCTCTTCAACAGCACAGGACAAAAGGAGAATGGGGGTTGCAGTCAGTTCAAGACGAGTTGGCTCCTCCACTCCTTCCTCGTCATGCTCTTCCCCTGATCCTGCACAAAACATATTTCCTGGGTCTTTTATTGAGTCACAGTCTCTTAGGAAAAGCCAATCTCATCAACAAGTTAAAGCAGACCAGGAGAGCAGTCATACAGAGCAAGAGAATCATGCTCTTGCATGAAGAGATACAGAGAGAGGACACGCAGGGCTGGCAAGGGAAATGGGCTCTGCACCCACCTCTGCACCCTGTGGCCATTCCTGCATCACTGCTTGTACATCAGTAACCAGCACTGGTGAGTGACAGTGATTACCATGTTCACATATCAGTTATCAACCACTGCCAGACAGTGATACAGCTCATAATATTGCACAGTACAGCACCACAGCAGAAAGAAATGTAAACCAAACTAGAGAGATACGTGTTGTTTCATTCAGTTGTTTCAATCCATTAAATGCCAAAGCACTTGGGGAAGGTTTGCAGTATTGTTACTGCCCTTGTGCATCCAGCCCATGTACCAAGTCTAAATGAATTTCTTCTTGACAATAATTTTACTCAAAGAATTACCTAAATGAAATTATAATTAATAATAAATTATTTGACTCAAATTATTTTAGTTCAAAGAATATGAATGAAGATTTCTTAAGAAAATCTGTTTCATCTACACTGACTGGAGAGTTGCTTTGTTTTCTATAGTGAAAGATCAACATTGTGCATGTGCTGCAGCTTTTTTTACAGTTCCTACCTCATGCAAACCTTGCACTTCACATGGGATAGAATCCTTAGCAGTGTCTTTTTCAATTTGGGATTGCTGATAATGAGAATAAAGGAATGAATTCCTGGAAATGCATACGGAACTACTCCAATGAGAAATAACATTCTTCCTTCCTTTGTGATGTAAACCAATTTCAAGATCAAGCATACAAAGTTAATGCTATACATTACAACAAAGGAGAGAATAGATTTCATGGCTTTGATGTGGGCATCCGTGCTGAGATTCTTCATGGAGTTTGTTTCCATTGTGCGTTTGTGTCTCCAGAGGGAAAAGAGAAGAAAAAGGCCAGAAAGGATGACTGCCATGAATGAAGTAGCATATCCAAAGCCAGCGAGAAAAAAGGAAGGGAAAAAATGCTTATCCATTTTGATTGTATATTTCCAAAAATTTCCTTGTCCAGTGGAATTGTGGTTGTTACAGTGCTTTTTATCAGCAATATCATAGGCAACAATGCTGATAGCCAAGGCTAAAAGCACTGACCCCAACAAGAGCCATGGCACAATCCTGTCAATTTTTACTTTCAGGTAGATGCAGAAGCTGTTCCTGAAATTGGCAATTTTGATACAATAAAAAACACAAAGACTGGCAGAAACCCACAAGTCAAAATGATCAAAAAAGCTTTCAATAGCTGTAAGTAGTTGAAGTGTCGGGTGAACATAAAGGTAATTGGGATAAATCATTGAAAGAAAGAAGTGTACCCATGAGATGCACAAATACCAAATCCTGGAGCATCCCAGAACCAGCAAAATCTTCTCACTAGAATTCAAGGTTTTCTTTTTGACCCAAGCAATGCAAAGCACAGAGACAATGAAAGCATTTATCCACAGGCTAGCCAAAGTCTCAAGGGTGATGATGGCCACAGCCACGATGCTGTATGAAGTGCCATTGGATTGCTCTGTAGAGTGACAAGCTTCCATCCTCCGAGATGGGGAGCAGTGCTGTGCTGGACAAAGGGGCTGTTACACCAATGCCTTACACAGGTCAGCGGTTGCTGTTCGCAGAGTGTCACGTATGGAAACAGGAGCTTTATAGAGCTGGTGTTGGTGGGGATTTTGGTGCCGCTCCTCTTGAGAGCAGGGCAGGTGCAGGGATGTAAATGTGCTGGGTATCCCCTTACCTGGTGTCAGTGCCACTCTTCACTATTTGAATTTTGGTTCAGGAGGGCAGTGTTTGGTGTCATAGAGAATGGAGACGTTTTTCTGCATTGGACAGTGTTGTGATCAGGATTCAGGATCTGGCTTCTGTCCCTTGGTCTCCTAGCAGGGCCAAGTTAGTTTTGGACGTGGTCATTCAGAAATATTTTCATTAGTCCTGATGTTGGTGGACATCAGAGCATTGCTTTGAGAGAATTTTCATTTTCTGATGTTGTCTGTTCCTTGTTTTACCCTTTTGTGTGAGCTTCCTCTCATCTATGCTCTGATGTAGTTTAACTCCAGGCAGCAACCAAGCCCCATGCAATTGTCTGCACACTCCACTACCAGTGGGATTCCTAAGAGATACGGAAGGGTAAAAGCTAGAAAACCCCTGGGTTCAGATAAATAGAGTTTAATAGGCAAAGCAAAAGCCACATACACAAGCAAAGCAAAGCAAGGAATTAATTCACTACTTCCCACAGTCAGGAGGTGTTCAGCCATCTCCAGGAGAGCAGGGCCCCATCATGCATAATGGTTACTTGGGAAGACAAAGACCATCACTCCAAACATTCCACCCTCCCTCCTTCTTCCTCCCACTTTATATACTGAGCATGATGTCATATGGTATGGAATATCCCTTTGGTCAGTTTGGGTCACCCGTCCCAACTGTGTCTCCTCCCAGTCTCCCATGCACCTCCAACTTCCTTGCCAGGGTGGCAGTCCATAAAGCAGCAAAGGCCTTGGCTCTGTGTAAGCTCTGCTCAGCAATAACAAAAACATCTCGCTATATATCAATCTTGTGTTCAGCACAAATCAAAACACAACCCCATACTAGCCACTCTGAAGAATGTTGACTACCCCAGCCAAAACCAGCACAGTTCTGTTCTGTCAGTTTTGCTGAGATAACAGAAAACAAGGTGTAGGTTTGTGTGAGTTTTTTGTTTGCTTTGCAAAGCTTGCTTTGCTTGTTTGTTTGCTTCTTTTTTTCTTCTCCATATTTATGTAACAAGATTAGAAGTTATTTCTCTTACAACAGATCTGAAGATGAACTGTCTGTGCTGGGACTGTGCTTGTACAAGGGTGTTAAAGGAAAATGTTACACTTGCAGGACTGTACTGCGGTTGGGATTTGGGTTTGGCTCTATGTGGGGAATCTGGCACCTTAAAAAAAGGGGTCTAAAATCAGAGTCTTGAATGTTGGGTTTTCAAAGCAGGAAGAACTCCTGTGTTTATGCATCTCAATGGACATACAGCTGTATTGGGATCTTACACACGTTGCACACAGATTGAATGGCTTCCATTGGTTCAGGCTGAACCTCTTCCCTTTCCAGAATCCTTGTCTTTTATCATGGGAAATCCCAGATGATTAGCCTAAGATAGCTAAATAGTTAGGCTATTAGTTGCCCAATTTCTGGGCAAATCCATTCCATCCATACCTCAGCTTCAATGCTCAGAAGGCCATTATTGTTTCAGGATACAATCCCGGGAAACTGAATGAAATCTCCTCAGGGCAGGTGTTATGAACTTGTTGTGGACTCGTAATTTTCCAAATCCTCCTTAGTTACAGAAGAGGACTGGCATGTCATAAAGTGGCTTTAGTTATTTTTTTGCTTGTTTCTGTGCAGTTACTCTTTAAAGAAAGTTGGGTTGGTTGGTGATGAAGCCTGATAGTGTGGTCTTTGGCAAAAGAGATAGTGCAGTGGTTGATAGTTTACTGTGGTCTAAATGGTTGTTTGTCTAATTTTACAAACAGGAAGGAAGCTTTTTTGAAGGTGATATGAAAAATGCCCACCTGGCACTGGGCACGAGGTAAAACATTGCCCTGAACTTGAGCTGGTGAAAGAAATGAACAATCAAATTCTGTTCTGTTGATTTTGGAACTATTTAATATGTACATGGCATGCAGTGGGGGATTGACCTTTGGCACCTGCCAGAGTCCCCCACAGCCTCTCCTTCACTCTGTTGCTGCAACACAGGAGGGGTGGAAAATAGGATGGGAAAGCTCATGGGTTGCGATTAAAAACAGAGACATCACTTACCAGTTATTGTTATGGACAAAATAGACGTGACCTGGGGAAAA